ATGAATCCAGTTTTGACCATTTTTTGAATGGAAGAGATATGAGAAGGAACTTGGTTTTGCTGGCTTCTGAAGCACGTAGAGAGAAAACCAATTGTCTTAGAGCCAAACCACACACATTTTCTGAAAGAAGACAAAAATTCCTACGTTTTGATGTGTAATGTGTCTTTGTAACGTGAAAATYGTGGCTGTAGTAGGAATTTGTTTGCAAATTTCTTCTTTAAAATTACAGCGCTCACACTCTAAGGTCACATGACCTAGAGTGAGGAGCTTCCCATGTAATCCAATGGGGATTTTTAGATTAGTTTTTTGGGGATTACGTCGCCTTGGTAACAGATTATGTAAAGATAAACAATAGCACACCTCGTGAGATCGGCGCCGACGCAATGATGTATTTTTCATGGGGCCGGACCGCATTAACGGTGAAAGTTCTGGGATGAATAATAAATAAATAAAGAGTCAAGTTTAGAGGTGGATAATAATAGATTGCCATTGTTCATGGCAATCCTAATAAAATGCTGCTCTATTGGCTTTTCTTTTTTATATTGTGCTGCAAAGTAAGCAAGAGAAGCCAGTGTCTAATTGAAAAGTACTGTAGAAAGTGTTCTGTGATCCTAAAAATAAAAGACTATTGATTTGCTCCTCTTCGTAAAGTTGAGTTGCAGTGAGTCCAAGAACAGCTTTTAARCTCTGAAGTTCTGTGTCACCTACTGGCAAGATTAATAAAGGTTTCGTATAGCAATTCAGGCAAACCAATAGAAAGCTGAAGATGAAAGTGGACAGGTCTTTTCCAAGAGTTCTTTCACAAGAAAGTGAGGAATAAAAGCTGACCAAGTTAGAGATTATGCAATTGAAGTACTCCTAAAATCAAACTGTCCTAGAAGAAAATGTGCAGGCTTCTGATTCTGAGCAGAGTGAGACTCAAAAAGCTGCATGGTGCTGTGAGGAAAGAGAATTTCCTGACAAACACAAAAGGATGTTGCTGTCTTCCAGTTGCCTTTGGTTACACATCTCTTCAGATATTCTGGTTGATGGATATGTAGGAAGAGGGAATGGACAATCGTTCGGTGGTGCATTTTAGTTTTTACGCTTCTGTGCAACAATTTCAGTTTTTGGTTTAAAGAGTCTTTAAAGTTCAGCAATGTCCACTGAAATGCATTCTCTCAAGGTGTATATGTTGGTACAAAATAAACGGTCACTGGCAGCAGCTGTGTCAAGATCAACAACAATGCTGGCTTTTTACACCCATTTCGGGTATTGTTTCGTTATGCTGGTGTGTCTCCACATCTCCTMTTTTTGCAGAGACAGGAAACTGGCAGATTACTGCTGTCAGCTGAAGCAACTGCCATATCACAACTGTTTTAAAGGCTGGGAAAGCTATGCTGCTTCAAGTGTTCCTGCAGATCTCTAGAAATGAGGATTTGTAAAAAAAAGCTTATGAACAGTATTTGTCTAACCTGCTGTAAACAGATTGTTGAATGGCCTTAGTTTGAAGAAACAGAGTTTCATTCCAACTAAACTATAGCTATAATCCATTTCACCAAATTAAGGTCATTTGATGAGCTACTCACAACATGAAAGCAAATAAATGTTCAAAACATTTCCACTACTCTACAAACGGCTACTTCAGTAAAAAGAACTGTAAATTTAAGGAGACCCATAGTTTAGTCTATGTACGTTTAATAACCCATCTGAACACTTGGTGACCTTAGTTTTAGTCGGCTTCGTGTTGCTTTAAATAACTTGTTTGTTCTGAGTAGTTCTTTTAATCACTGCACTATGTTTGAGAGGTTTTTGTTGTTGTTGATTGAAGGTGAACTATTGGAACTCTTTCAAACCAAGGTAAAGGTTTTTTTGAATTCCCAGYAGCGAAATACAACTGTTCTTGAAAATTGCTAGACATTGTTGCTAATTCTGTTATTTTTCTGTMATTAAATCTCAAGGTAGAACTGAATGGATTTGGTATTTTTAGAGTCTTAGCTGGGACTATTTGAGCCCATAGCAGCACTGAAAATCAGTATCCTGCAATGGATTTCAGTTTGTCGTCAAGATATTTTTCATTAAATTTACAATAAAATAAATGAATAGGAAAGCTATGGAACACAGGTTATTGGGTAAATTATAATCTTGACTTGCACCCTCAATATTCTAACGCTCTCATTGCAGATTTGATAAATACTATGAGTTACTGTCAAGTTTCAGTGTTGGGCTGTTAGATTTAAGAGCCACAACAATCTGGTTACCTTTCAATTACTGCTAAAATAACACTTTCTAAATACTATTTGTCTCTAGTTTATTGGAGTCATCAGGTGCAATTTGTCTTTTCAGAGCAGTAATTTCATGGTAAAAAAAAAGGTTTGAATTTAAAGCTGTTTATTTCTCATGCATTTTGATGCAAGATTGAAAACATATTGTAGATTCAGGACAGTAGTAAAGTTGTTACAGTGTCAGTGGAGATTTTATTCTGTAAATTTTCAACACAAAATATCAAAAATTGGGAAAAGCAGACCCTGAAATACTTGCTCTACATGCTCTGATGGTGCTTTTTCATGTTTGTGATGACAGAGAAAAGACAGACACTCAGCAGTGTGCTGACAGCTAAAAACGGTCTGTCTGCCCATCTTTCAGCACTAACCACAGCCTTTTCCATCACGTTTGCTGTGATCACTTCATGTGGAAGGAGCTGTTGGCCGTCAGAACACTCCAACTTCAAAGAGGATTATTCAGGCTCAGTTCCTTGTCATGATAATGTTAATTTCTTTATTCAGAGTTGCTCGTATAATATTTTGATGCTTTGAGAATAAGTTTTAAAGCCAATTATAAAGGCTTGTCTAGCTTTTACAAATGTTTAATCTCTGTCAACAGCAGAATGGTCTTTTGGAGGCTGCATAGATTGTGTGTAAAATATGTGTTACCTTTTTTTTTCTTTTTTGCTGCACAGTTACAGAAATATTTTACCTTTTTCCTAACTACCAGCACTGATTCAGAATAACATTTTCCAAAAATAAACCCACCAAAACAGGGGTCTGGGAGCTTGAAGGTTCAGCGTGTGGGGCCACACTCTTTTGGGCTAAGCTGTCTGAGGTTGTTCCTGGGATCTGTCGGAGCCACTCCTCTAGTTTGAGGGTTACAACAAGTGGATCGTGGTCTATTCAGATACTTTGTCCATCAAGCATTTGTTCTTCTTTTTACAACATTTCCATGATATAAAATGTACTGCCACGTGTCCTTTTGGAGGATACTGCACCAACATACACATAAAGTACAAGTATCAGGTATAAACACCTATACTGCTTACTCAGGTCCACTTATTGTCAGTAGAGCACTGCGCTACACTCAAAAGTGCAACTATAAGTGAGCCCTAACTGTAATACTGAAAGAAATCAGAGAAAAGATTATTGAAATGTATAAGTCGGGATGGATACAAAAATGATTTCCAAGTCCCTAAACATCCCAAGGAGTTCTGCTAAATCGTTCATCAAGAAATGGGACGTGTGCAAATCTACCAAGTGCAGGCTGTCCTCACAAACTGAGTGACCGTGCAAAAAAGAGAGTAGTGAGAACAATAAGACACCTGTGACCACTCTGAAGGGCTTCAACATTTGGGATGAGAGAGACTGCAAGTACAACATCTGTTGCTTGAGTTCTTCACCAGTCTAAGCTTTATGGGAGAGTAGCAACGAGAAAGCCACTGTTGAAGAAAACTCTTAATAAATCTCAACTGTATTTTACCAAACAGCATGTGGAAGACTCTACAGTCAAGTGTTTCTCGACAGTCGACCCTAGTCGACCCAGCCCAGAGACATTCACTTAGCAGTTTATCACTGGGGACCTTCTTCCTGATGTACTGCAGGATCTTGGCAGTTTCAACCTGGACAGTGGCTCTGACTCCCATTAGTCCTCTGCTTCCCTCCGTTTGCTCAGTGTACAGAAGTCCCAGGGTGCTGGACCTGCGATGAAACCCTCCGTGTACTGAGGAGTATTTATATCTTGATACCAGTGGGGTTTTTTTCTCCTCCTTTGGCCAGAAAATTACAACAGCAGAGCATATGATAACTGTCAGATAAACATGCTAAAGGGCTTCAGGGTAATTCAGGACATATTTTATTTTAATGTCCCTCAGTTTATAACATTTACAGCAATGTGTTTAATGGGAAATTGATTTGAGTATATAATGATTTTAAACACTGGATATTAATTAAATATTCACTCGACACAAGTTTTTTTTTCTGTCACAAAATTAACTTGGATTAAAAATTGATTAAATTTAGTATAAAACTGCAAACGTTTCCTGAAAAATACCATTTAGTGACAACTGGTATTAAAATAATTAAAGCCAGTTTTGTTGATTATTCATTGTAGGAGATTTAATGTAAAAATTGTTTTATTTGTAATGACCATCTAATTAGTGTCCCTTACTTTAAGTGGCAATATTTTATCCCTTCCCATTATTTGTGAAAACAAAAGCCAAAAAAGAATGTGTTTGTGGGGGGAAATAATTCATGAATAATTTTTTGCTCGTCTTGATCTTTTGATCTGATTCTAATATTTATGCAGTAAACATGATGTACCCACAACCCTGAACAGAGAGGAAGTGAGTAAACACCATGTATTCGCTCTTGTTTTCTGTAGACATCTGCAGTGACATGAGAGGGGAAATTTGCATGGTTTAAATAATAAATACTTGCTAACGCCTGGCAGCATAAATGCATTTGATATCACAAAACACGTTAAAATATGTAAATCACATTAAATGTACTAAAAGACAATGTTGTTCAAATTTGTTCAGTTCAGACAATAAACCTGGCTTGTTATTTCTGAATGTACAATGTGGGATGTCAACCTTGCTGGTGTATTACTGGTTTAATCATTACTGCTATAATGATTGGATGGAACAGAAGCCCTCTGGTCATCCTTTATTAGGCCAATTTTATCAGCTAAAATATTAACAGAATTTGCTTCAGTAAGTTATTTAGTATCTATGCCTTTCTTTCTTTAAACAGCTGCACTCAGATGTGGACAAAGGGGAAGGCAAGGTGAAGTATGTGTTATCTGGAGAGGGCGCCACATCCATCTTCACCATTGATGAAAACACCGGAGACATTCATGCCACGAAGCGCCTGGATCGGGAGGCTCAGGCTTATTACACCCTCCAAGCCCAAGCTATAGACCGACTAACCAACTTACCAGTGGAGCCGAGGTCTGAGTTTGTGGTCAAAGTGCAGGACATCAATGACAATGAACCCAAGTTTATTGACGGACCGTACGTGGCCGGTGTACCAGAGAGGTCATCTTTAGGTAAGCTTCCCTGCGTCTCTTAAACATGATCCTATGACTTTTTTTTTCCCTCCATGATTTCTTTCCAACTCTTGTCTCACTTTCTCTTTGACTTGCCCTCGCCCTAATATCTCCATTTGATAATTTTCCACCTCAATGAATTCCTCTTTCTGTCTCTAGGTCATCAGGTAGTTTGGAACGTGTGCTGTGTTATTATGAGTCCTGCATGTTCCCTTTGTAAGAATGAAAATGTGCTTATTACTCAGGCCTTATTTTAAACCATTTGAAAGTAGTGCTTGTTCATGGTAAATTAAGTTCAACTATCCTATAGATTTTGAAGGATATAGCAGCTTTACAGTACTTTCTCACAAGTTGCAAAAGGCATCATCTTTTTCATAGGTGGAGATACCAGAAGAAAAGTGTTTACTAGCTTTTTCAAACCTCCATTTGTTGTTCCTGTTTACGTACCAGGTTGCACTGGCTTTGCAGCACGGCTAGTTTTAACAGGAAGCTAGAATTTTTTTTACCCATCAGCCACTCATGTTAAATATTGTGAAACGTGTTATCAGTAATAATGATGCAGAAAATGTTGATTTAATCCCAGCCAGAAATTGCCACCATGATAAATCCAGAGATTCATGCCAAAAAGTTGTATAGACAAATGTTCCTTCTTTTTCCCATTCATGGTAAATGGTATTGAACATACAGAGCGCTTTTCAAGTCCCTCTGGACCCCAAAGCGCTTTACACTAACAGACATTCACCCATTCACACTCACATTTTCAACTCTTTACAGCAAGGTCAAGACTTTAGCCACCTGTTTTCTTTTTGCTATAACAGAGAACACGTGATGTTGTCAGAAAAACAAGGCCACAGTGATCTAACTGTATCGTTCAACATATAAATCTGCAACAGTTGCAGAACACAGAGAGAACACTGTAAGTAAGTAAGTAAGTCTAGCATCTTTATGAAAACACACTCTGGCTAAAAAGCTGCTTTTCGATCTTTAATGAGTACTCAGAATGAGCATACTGATAAATATAGACAAACTGTTTAAGACAAACCACATGGTTCTAGATTATTGATAACTTAATTAGGCCATTCACCACATTCATCGTTCCAGGTTGCTGGTTTACCTCACAATCGGCGTTTTAGTTAAGCTGATGTTAAAATTTTTGTCATTAAAATGTTATTATTTTATATTGCCATAACATTTCAAAATGTTTAATTTTGTATTAAAACGGGGAAACTGCTAATTTGAGTTTACGGAAATCGTATATTATGAACTCAATATTACATGAAAACAATCAGGGAAGGTTTAGTGAGAAATWAAGCACAAGTACAGTTTTTTTCCTGTTTTGACCCAGAGAGATGCCTTGTGCTGGGTAAAAAGGTTGAGTGGCAGCCTGCCAGACAGAGTCCTGTAAAAAAACACAATCAAAAGAAGAAGGAAATTATAATCTTGGCACCGGTGCTGAGCTCCTAGTACACACATTAATTTTACTGGGCTATATGTATATACTGTATCTGCAAGTAAATGAGTGAAAGGTGGTCACAGCGAGGCAAAAAAAACCTACAAAAACAGACAATATCCCTTCTGAAAAATACATAAAACCACTTTAACATGAATTATTGTTTAAGTTGTTTGGCTGCGTCCAGGGTTATCTCACAGTTGCAGGTAATTGTCCAGAGTTCTCACAATGGACACAAAGAAGCAAAGGGAGTTAACCGCAAATGTGAAGTGGACTGTTACGACCCGGCTCAGCCAGGGACAAAGGAAGTAACATTAAGAAACCAGATGGAATTGGTTAAAATATGAACAATGG